ACCCGCCTCACTGGGTGCGACGACGCCCCGAGCCCGCCATGATTGTGGACAGCAGCCGCGACGCGCAGCAGCAGCCCGACGGCGACTGCGGCTCCCTGAGCAGCCCCTTCAACTTGGCTTTTTTCTACGGGACGTCCCCGCACTCCAGCGAGGGCAGTTGCTCGCCCACCCATTCTTCCGCCCCGGGTTCGCCCGGTTCCGACTCGGAACCAGCCGGCAATGGCAAAAGCCCCAGGGATAGCAGCAGCAGTAACAGCAGCGGCAGCAGCAGCAGCAGCCGCACCGGGAGCCAAAGCGGCTCCGAGTGGACCCACAAGAGGCGCTACTCCCGGAGCGGCGCCCGCCAAGCCAGCGAAGGTAGGGCAACCCTCGACGGAGGCGCCGGGCAAACCCCGGGCAGAGGGCGACCCAACTGGCCTGGAGGCGCCGGGCTTGTCAGGAAAGGGAAGGGGTGTTTGGGTGGCTGGGTGGGGGATACAGACCGCTCTGCCCGAGGCTCGGGCCCACTACTTTAGCTCTTCGTAATTACCTTATAATTACCTCATACTAATAATCTTAGAACTGTTCAGTTGGAAGGGACCCTATGGATCATCGAGTCTGGCGCCTGTCAAGGAACCGCAGTGGGGAAGCGAACCCCCAACCTCTGGTTCCGCAAGCCGGAGACCGAAAGCCCTGAACTAGTAGAGGGTTGCTGTTTGCCTCGAGTGAGAAAGCCGGCTCTAGTGCAACTAGGGGCTTACTCCAGAGTAGTCGCTTCACTTATTGCGCGTCAGGAAAAAAGGGGGGGAGAGGGAAAAAATCTGAGCTTCATTCGCGAAACGGCCGAGGTTTATGGCCTCCTACAGGAAGCTTCATTGGGCATCCTTGATGGTCATTGTGATGCCCCTAATAAATGCAGTAGTCCTTTCCGAACTTTTATTAGCAAGGTGTGTATAGGTAGAGGGCACGGAGAAGAAGCAGTAGCCTACTGGTGGCCGAGACAGATTAATGCCTGCTTCTATGTTAATAGGTGGCTTTGAGGTAGGCAGTCGGTTGCCCACCAGAACTGTTCAGTTCTCTTGCATGCGGTGGCCCTGCCTGTTGCCCTGTTCTGCAAAGGGGTTATTCTCCATAGTCCCATATAGGGATGCATTTGTACGTTGTTTGGTCCTGCTGGGCAGGCTCTTCTGTCTGAAAAGGGGTTGAAACCCGTGTTTTGTGTTGGTGCGTGATGCTCACAGTTGTGTATTTAAAGGTGTCTAAGTGCGCCAGGAAAGCATGAATGAATAATGTGGGGCCATTACCATAAGTGTTTCTTCCTTTATTGGGAGAAAGGTGGCCTATAAATGAGATAAGTAAATAAGTAAATTCCAGATATCTTGAACATCTACTCCGCTGTATTATGAAAAATATTCTGCATGAAAGTGTTGGTTACTTACAGCATGGCAAGTGCATATCTGAAGTCGCCATAAATTAGTGTTATAAGTGAACTGTTGTCTGAGCAGTAGAGTCACAAAACACACACACACACACACACACACACACACACACACACTGCTCAGATCGAGAAAGTTTGCAGCACACTTTTTGGCTGTGCCTTCTGTTGAATGGGTTTCTGAATTTGGAAGTGACTTCTGGAAGTAAATAGACAGCCTTGAGGATTACAGAAACTGTTAGTGGAGAGAGATTAATTTTGTTTATGACAGGCAATAGCATACAGCAAACAAAATATTCCCGTCAAATCAGTTAATTTGGAATACACCAGGAATGCTGAGCATCAGCTCTCCTCTAGTATTACCTAAATGTTGGCAGTGTATAAGGAGTTACTTGTCCATCTCCTGCAGTACTAGGCTATAAGTTATTTCTTATTTGTTTTGTTAGTTTTCTGAAAGTGGCACTGACAAGAAGTTGTCTAAATTTCATTGAGATTTAATTTTAATTGTTAACTTTAATATTTTAATTAAAGAAAGAAGCAAGTCAGTGACATTCTATAAAATTTACTGTAGGAAAGCAATAGTGTTCTTTCTATTTATAAAGAGGAATTGCACACTTCAGGCTGTTAAGAGTGCAATTTGGAAAAATTAATAGATCAGCAGGATATCTCTGCACAGTAACTCATATTCAAACTTTTTGCTATTACCACAGTTTGTTGTTGTTTAGTCATTAAATCGTGTCCGACTCTTCGTGACCCCATGGACCAGAGCAGGCCAGGCCCTCCTGTCTTCCACTGCCTCCCGGAGTTTGGTCAAATTCAATGACACTATCCAACTATCTCATCCTCTGTCATCCCCTTCTCCTCTTGCCTTCACACTTTCTCAACATCAGGGTCTTTTCCAGGGAGTCTTCTCTTCTCATGAGTTGGCCAAAATATTGCAGCCTCAGCTTCAATTTACCAGAACACAATAAGTTATTCTAGACATAGTATAATTCTATCTGTGAAACAATAGGTATTCTGTTACCATATTCATATGTTCTCTTGTGTGGAATCAGCAAGGCTGTAATAGCTGGGGAGTCTCAGAGTTTATGGTCTTTGTTTTATATTTGGAAACAGGCAGAAGCCTCCAAGTTAGTGGCTGCCTATACCTGGGTTTACTTCTGTTTCTTATGAGTCTGTTGTGGTTGAAATGGTGCATAAGAAAGCTCTATTACCTTCAGAAAATGCATGGTATTTTTTTTAACGTAAAAAAAGTTTACAGTATTTTTAATTGCTTTTTTGCGGATATCAAAATGTTAGGATTTAAAACAACAAAGTAGTTACATTTTAATTATATTAAAACATAGTTTGGCAATGTTTATAGTACTATCATCCTAATATTAAGAATTTGTATCCTTTTATATCCCTGGCCAATTAGATATTTCACCATAAATAGATTACTAACATTTTTAATTTCACATTGATCTATATTTTTATAGAAATATGTTGCCTGCAATGATTTCTTATCTAATATCTTTTTGTTTGATTACTTAATTAATTTTTTCAGTAAGATCTTTTTTCAAATTCTGTTTGTAGCAAAATTTGTCCCTTAGAAAATTATACTTGTGTTTGTTAAATTCACAGCAGTGGTTTGCTTTAATTAGATTTTCTTTTGGGGATTACTTAAAACCCTGTAAAGAGGAAATCATTTACTCTTGATTTTTTTTCACTACAAAAAATTCCAGCTGCAAGGGAATTGCTTCTTTTTTTAAAAAAGAAAGGCTTTACATATAGTTTGAATTGTAGTGCTTCTATATAAAAACTTGCATATTTTGTACTTTTTAAAATGAAGTCACAACTTCTCTGTTGGACTGTGCTACATCAAGATTTCTTCTTTTCACTTCTGTTTTTCACCCTTCAAAATAGATTGTACTTAAGGAGATGATGACATGAGAATGAACGTAATCTTTGTTCTTCATTTTTCTGATTGAATCATTTCTTATTTGGGACAAGCAATTAAAATGGAGGTGGCAGGCACAAGTAATTCTGAAGATCCAATTCATATAAAGTCAGATTAATGATTATTTATGTTTACTATCGGGAACTGAATTTCTTTTGTTAACAGAAAAAGGAGAAAGAGACATTTTTGTATGCAAAATTGAGAAGTAGTGTTTGTATTTATAAAATACTTGGTACGGAGGTTTTCAGGAATTGACTTACCAACTAGATCTAATTGATAATTGGGGCATTATAATGACTTTTAAAGTTGATTTTAATTTTGTTACTGTACTTTATGTCTGTTTTTTGAAAGTTGGATTGAGTACCGTATTTAACATAAAGATGGGATATCAATGCAATAAATGAATAAATAATAATTTCTTAAAGTATTTCTGCTCGATAATTTATCTGAAGACATATTTTCCTTTTTAACGGAGTATGTCAGTGTTTTAATTTTTACTTTTTTCCTCCTCTCTGAATAGTTGAACAACATATGGGGGGTGGAAAGCAACAAAGAGGACCTTTCCAAGGTGTTCGTGTGAAAAACTCGGTGAAGGAACTGTTGTTGCACCTAAGAAATGGCAAACAGATATCCTCAGATCATGGTGCAGATGAATTAAAGGTACAAGTTATTAATTCTTAAAATATCTACCTATCTCTATGTATGTGTGTATATATATATTCTGTTCAGAATGTTTTTCTTATTGTTCAAAATCTTTTTATTATTTGGAGACATCAAGCATACGTTGTGGAAGTCTTATCTATAAGATCTATTAATGTTACCGACTTATCTATTTGTGAAAGAAGAAACAAACACATTGGTTGAACCTGAGTTATCAACAGCTATAAAATTTCAGGGATAAGTTACCTAAACACAGGGGGTCACTCTAGTCTTAGCTAAAATACATTCACTGAATCAACACTTTGATAAATCCCGTTGAATCAGTGGACTGGCTCTACTTCAACTCAGGAATACTACCGTAAATGGATTCAAGTCATGCAGACTTCTTTACATGTGAATAATACTGTGAGATGCTTGTAGGATCAACTGTAAAACTTACTTCCTTACTACATTTTATGGATTATATCTAAATTTTGCTTAGAGGAGTAAACTAATTAAAAACAGGGCAGGTTGAAAAGCCAAGTAAGGCATCTCAGGGGTGCTTAGATGAAGCAGAATTGGTGTGTTGAAAAATCTGTGAGTAATAATGCAATTGCACTAATATGTTTCTCCCACAACATTCCTTTAAGCTTGCAGAATGTACTAAATTTTCTGGATTGAAATTATGTACTAAATATTTCTGGGTTACATATTTCAGAGCTTCCATTGGGAACGGCCACACTAACTAGGGATTTTTTTTGTGCTGGTATTGGCTAAGTAATTTTTCCATATTCTGTTTCACATACAGCAATATTAGGTAAAGTGATGCAAGTTATTCTGCCCTTAAAAGTTGATTTAAGGAACAGATTGAGAGCTTCCACTACATTATGAATAATTTCATCTTTCTTTGAAAAAAACAGGGACCTGGAGGATTAATGAACTATGACCAATATACAGGTACATTTTAAAAATATATTTTCCCAAGCTGCTTGAAGTTTGTATCCAAAGTATTAGAAAAGTTGGATAGAAGAAAAATTGAACAAATTTCCTTTCTTTCATTAGAGCTGAAGAACTTACTAACTCATAGTCGCAAAAGAAAAGCTGATGAATCTCTTACTGATGGGCCTAATTATAAAAGAACAGTTACTTTCCAACCTCACCTCCTGGTAAGACCTTTATATCTGTGTCATGTCTATGCTTATTGAATTTTTGAAATACTTTTTGTGTTTCTTTTACCTGACAAGATACAATATGTTTTAAAATGTGCACATGTTGTCTTACAGACACCACCACAGACACCAACCTCAATGGAAAACAGTATGGAAGATGCCCATACAAATGAGCCCAAACAAGATGGCAGTTGTGATATGCTTCAGAACATTATCAATATTAAGAATGAATCAAGTCCAGTTTCTTTGAACACAGTGCAAGTTAGCTGGCTTCACCCAATGGCTAATCCCAACTCTCCAGGAGAACCATATCATGACATGGCTGGAGCACAGACTTTCTCACCTCCTCAAAAATACCAAGCATATCAAACTGGCAGCCCTTCACAAATGCTGGAACTTGCCCAGAATTATCAGTTTTCTCCCTCACAAGCCCAGGAGTTGTCACAGCAGTACTGTCAGAATTCACTTCTGGATTACAGGCCACACTCCACAAGCAGCCAGTCCTCTGAATACCAACATAATGTTTTTGACAACCAAGAACTGCAGTATTGCACTTCTGCAAACTTTGTTTCTCTTTTAAATGATTCAGAAGGACCAGAGAGCATCCCTACCTCCCTTTCTCAGCCACTGCCTGGTGGCCAACAACAGAGTGATATTAGCAGCCACTCTCCAAATTTCAGCCAGATGCCCAGTAATTTATGTAGTAGTCTCGAGGAGCATGGATTATCACTGGTTACTTCAAATATGCCGATGCAGCATCAGGAAATCACCAGGGACACAGCACAACCAGGCAAATCATTCTTCCAGTGGCAGGTGGAACAGGAAGAAAACAAGCTGGCTAATATTTCTCAAGATCACATTCTTGCCAAAGACTCCGATGGTGACACGTAAGTACCATCCACATGTTAATTGTTGTAAAAAAGAGATGCAGGGTCAGCAGTAGGGTTGCTTTTTAGTGTCGTTGTCTTGTGAATATCATTATCATTCACTCCGTTGAATGAAAAAGAGAGTAGTGCATAAAAAAGAATGTTATGGGGACATCTGTGACTCCATGCGTAAATAAGATTTTTAAAAAGGAGGTGCTGGGTGATGTGATGCCATATGGTAGCCCTTTCAGTCTGTATGTTCTGTAGGTTAGGTTTATGAGGTTAGGTGGCACATTTGGGGGCATTTCTGTAAGCCTAGATTTAGTAACGTATGTGCTTTTTGGATACTAAAAAGAATAAAAAATCTGTTTCCCACAGGTTTCTCCATATTGCAGTTGCCCAGGGAAGACGGGCAGTTTCGTATGTGTTGGCAAGAAAGATGGCAGCCTTGCACATGCTGGATATAAAAGAGCACAATGGGCAGGTGATGCTCTTATCATTATAGTCTCCTTCTACCCGCCCTTGAATTCTTAACATTTCCAGGATCTCACGTAAAGCATCCTGGAATGTCTGTTAATATAAACTGTGAAGATTAGTAAGCAGGTTAATATATAACTGTGGGCTCCTGTGTAAAGTCTACAGAATAAACTGGAGGCCTGAAATAGGTGCATTCTGAAATGTTTGGAAGTACCTGACTGGAAATTGTTTTATTATAAGGTGGCTTTATATAGCTGTTTCCTTGGAAGATTTGGATGACTCATGCCTCTGATTTTTGTTATTACAGAGTGCCTTGCAAGTGGCTGTTGTGGCAAATCAGCATCTTATTGTACAGGATCTGGTCAGCCTTGGAGCACAAGTAAATACTACAGACTGCTGGGGTAGAACACCATTGCATGTATGTGCAGAGAAAGGCCATGCACAAGTCCTTCAGGTGAACTACCAAATTCTTTACTTTTCTCTTGACATGCTAGGTTGTCATAGTATATGGCAAAAACAGTTGTTGTACATGAAAGATCCAAAATACTGTACTTCCCTTTAAAGTGACCAACAGTGTTTTTCTGTCTGTTGTATTAATACCATAGCATTTAGAACAGCAAGAACTGCTCAGGAGCTAGTAAGTCTTTGTGTGACCTTTCTTTCGTCTCTCTTTCCTGTATATTAACGCACAGGGCAATGCTTCCTCCTCCATCTATTTAGGTATCTGAATTTAATGATGACTATTTACAAGTGGAAACTTTAAACATCAAAAGTGATTGTTTCAGAGCTTTGAAAAGTTACTTCTTTGGGCCACCACTCCTAGAATCTGATTCTGGCAATTTTTATTTTTAGCATGTAACTTTTCTGAGCTGGCTTTACTGAGTGAATTGTCTTGATATTTGTTATGGAAGATAGAGTTCTCAAAAAATGACAGAGTACTTCTGGCACTTCTTAAAAGTTAAAAAAATGGGCTATGATATAAGCTTCTGTGAATCATGGTACTCGTCATAAGAAGCATTCAGTTTAAGGTTACTGTGTGCATAGATGTGTGACATTAATGTTTATTCTCTCTAATTTATGCAGGCAATCCAGAAAGGAGCCATTGTAAGCAATCAATATGTAGACTTGGAGGCAACTAATTATGATGGTGAGCAACTATGTTCCTTTTTAATGTTTTAGGTTAAGTTAAAAGCCTAATATAAACATACCATGTTTTTATTTATTCTTAAGCCTTTCTGGTTGGCATGCTGTTTTTATTGGAAACGTACTATTGTAACATCCTCTTTGAAAGAGGCAGAAAATTAAACTGTTCAAAGAAGGGCCTAAATACCTTAATGTGGAATGTTACTCATATTACATTTTATACTAGATGTTCTTGAGATTATCTGAATACGAATTGGAACCTGATCAGCAGCCTTGGGCAGATGAGCAGGAGCTCAGCATAATTATTGTCCCATCTAATGTAGATTCCAGGATGTATTTGATTTAAATCAAATTGATCTGAATCACAATTTAATTTTTTTTTTAATTGGATTTTTTTTACAATTTAAATTTAAAAATCCATTTTAAATTATGATTTAAATCAATTGGATTTTTTTAAAAAAATCACTGATTTTTATCCACTCTAATAAAAACTGTCATGAGAACACATAAGAAAGCAATGAAATAACTAATTATAAATTAAGCTCTATCGAGAACTTTTAATTTTCACTTTTTTTTAGATAGACCATAATTCTTGCTGACAGCAAACTTTCATGATCAGCAAGAGCTGCCTTGGATTTTTAACAGAAGTATGTTTAAGTTATATTTTTGAATCTGCAAGCAACCGGGAGAAAATTAGTTCTTTTTCTATTGTACATTCAGAGATGTGAAGAACTGGGAGAAAATTAGTTCTTTTTCTATTGTACATGTAGAGATGTGAAGAACTGGTTCTTCTTCTTGGCCTCTGTGAATCACACCCTGGTTGATTCACGCCTGTGCGGAGCCTCATCGGAAGATTCTAGAGCTTCTGTGGTAGCAATGAACACATTAGAATGTGCCCCTTCCCACCTGTATAAGTACTTTGGCGCCAAGAGTCCCCTTTCAGTTTCTTTAAACCGCTGCATTGAGCGCCTCATAATTCTGCTTCTGTGAGTAAATGAGTAAGAGAGCTTATTCTTGATTCCTTCCTGTTATCAGTCTTTTTCTTTTAAACTATTAGATCAAACTGTTTATCATCGGTTTTTCTCCTCAGTTATTTTCTCCTATTCATGGCCCCTTTGGGCCCATTTAAGCACTGTGTTGTCTGTGATAATAAGATGATTATTTTCTCCTATTCACGGCCCCTTTGGGCCCATTTAAGATCTCACTTTCTGACGGACACACTAAGTGCCTTTTCTGCTTGGGAGAACAACATCAAGCTTCCTCCTGTACCCATTGCAAAAGTTTTAAGCTCGGAGTTCTTTGATCCTGTCTCTCAAGGCCAAAACTCCAACTGTGGGAACAATCCTTACAACCAGTTCAAATGGCCCATCCACTGTGTAGGGCCACTTCCCAAGAAAAAGCAATGGAAAAAGCCATTATTGAATCATCGAAACAACATCCATCGTGTACACCAGCTCATTCTGATTCTCCATCTGCATCGTCTTAAGACCTCGAATATGCACAAATCGAAACCCTCCATACCACAGTCCTCGACTTCAAAAACAACCTCTAAACGTCAGAGACCTACTGAAGCTGCTCCAGCTCCGGAGCCTGTTCTTCCTAAACGAGCTAAACAGTCTAAGCCTACAGACATCCCACCACAACTCTCTGAATCAGTTTTGGTCAGATCTCCCTCAGATGATGACAGACTTCCATCTCTTCAGCCCTGTTCTCAGTCTCCAGAATGGGATGTAGAGTCGACCAACTACCGTCCTCCCCTCCCACTACAAAACCTTCCATTCCTTCCAGCAATCCTTCGGTTATTCCATCGCCCGAAGATTGCCATCCCGAATGGCTCGACATATTCCATATTCGATGCCCTCGGATCACCCACCGATCCCTAACCACAACTGTCTACATCAACAATCTGGACAGCTCACTTCGCGTGTGGTTCAAATCCACACATCAGGTTTCCATTTGCCCTGACCATTGCTCTGCTTGACAAACTACACCAACTAGTCGAATTTTGCCCAATTCGATAATACCATCTAATATTTGGTCTACCTCTCGACAACCATCAGTGTTGAAGTGGCCACATCACAGAGAGGTGACTATATCTCAATCTGCTCCCTGTTTGGTATCGAAAAATCTCAAGACGGTCAAGCAGATTTTATCCACACATGAGGCTTTTGCAGCTCCAGCCTCCTGATACTTTCGTACTACTGTACAATAGATAATGGAAATCATTCTTCACGCTTGGCATCACCAGCATCAATTTATTCTATTGGTATGCCATCGCATCAGCAACCTCCATTTTGACATTCCAGAGATACAGGCTCTGATACAGTGGTGCCTCGACTTACAAACTTAATCCGTCCCAGAAGATGTTCATAAGTTGAAAAGTTCGTAAGTCGAATCAGCATTTCCCATAAGAAAAACCTATTAATCCATTCCGGCTGTTTTTTGTTTGTATGTAGAGGTGCCGTTTGTAAGTTGAAGCATTAATTCCCATAAGAAATAATGCAAAACCAGTTAATCTGTCCTCTACCACGGGGGTGGGGGGGAGATTTTTTTTAACCTAAGATGATTTAGGTTTTTAAAAAGGGCAGGAAAGGAGGGAGGGAGGGAATGAACACCTTTTAAACAAAACACCTTTAAAACTAAGCAGCTTCAAACCAAACCAAGCACCTTTTAAACTAATTCTTACATTTTAAAATTACAGTACCAGGCAGTCCAAAGTCCATTTCCCGGTTTCCCTGCGGTTTTTTGTTTGTTAAGTCGAAGCTCTGTTCGCAAGTCGAAGCAAAATTTTGTGAACAGAATTGTTCGTAAGTCAGAATGTTCATACAGTGAATTGGCTGCTTTACGCTACGACTACCCTTATCTACAATTTTCCCCTGATAAGTTGAAGTTATTCATGGATGCCATCTTGTCTCTTCATAAGCCATCAGCTACCTACAAAAGGCCATCAGGTGACTTCCCAATCTATCTCCAGATGGGTCGCCTCTACCATTCATTTGGCTTATCAACTTGCTCGACAACCAGCCCCTAAACTGGTTCAGCCCTCTCTCCACCAGAACAGTGGCAGCCTCTACAGCCTTTCTCCGTGGCATACCTCTTCCGGACATCTGCACCTCTGCTACTTGGGCACAGCCGTCCATGTTAATCCATTATTATAGACTCAACCTCCGGCCGAAGTCTGATGCGGCTTTTGGACATGCTGTTCTAGCCTCTACCTTGGTATGACACCATGCCTCTGGGTAAGACAGCTTATTAAGTCACCCAGGGTGTGATTCACAGAGGCCACGAAGAAGAACGACAGGTTACCCACCTGTAATTATAGTTCTTCGAGTGGACCTCTGTGATTCACATATCCCACCCGTCCTCCCCTCTGTCACACCATTGTTTGCTTACTATTAAATGGTGGTTGACACAACTGAAAGGGGATGCTTGGTGCCAAGGTACTTATATGGGTGGAGAGGGGCATATTCTAATGTGTTCATTGCTACCACAGAAGCTCTAGAATCTTCCGATGAGGCTCCGCGCAGGCGCGAATCACCCAGGGTGTGAATCACAGAGGTTCACTCGAAGAACTACACTTAAAGGTGGGTAACGTTAAATCTGTCACAAACCAGAAACAAAACAGCACAAACATAAATGGGCTGAAATCTCAGTTTTGGTATCAGGATGACTAATGTTTTTAATAGGTCGTTGAAGGTGACATTGGGTCCTAAGTGCTCCTTTTTGGGTTTTCATTTGGCTTACTGTTTCTGTTTTGTTTTCATTTTAAGGTCTGACAGCACTGCACTGTGCAGTAGTGGCCCATAATGCTGTGGTGCACGACCTACAGAGCCAACAATCTCCCCACACTCCTGAAGTCCAGGAACTAAGGTTGAAAAGCAAGAGGTTGGCAGACACAATCAAATTTCTAATCCAGTTGGGGTCTTCTGTTGAAGCCAGAGTAAGTAATACAACATAACACAAAACAAGAAGAAAGAGATTAACATACTGGTATTCTTGTAGATCTAGAGACACGTAGGGATCCTACGGAGATGGAGAATACATAATATATGAGGTTGTAGCACACTCACTTCCCAATAGATATTAAGTTTGATTGTAAGTGGCTTATTAGGGAAAAATTGTGTTGGAATTTGTATAGGTTAATTATTTAATGATTATATAGGCATCAGAAGATTTTTATTCATAAACACAGGTATTACAAACATTGTTTTCTGTTTCAAACACCAGAAGTATATCTTATTTATAGTTATAGCTTATATTTGCTTAAATAAATAATCACAATTTAGAGTCATGTTGATTGAATGACAATGTCTGTTTGTTTATTTATTTTAATTAATGATCATTAATGTGTGAGGGCTGTGCCACCAACTTTGCATTGACCTTTAAGGCAGCAGTAATGTCTTTGTGCAGTCTGGCTCATCTCCTGTCTCCAAAATGGAAACAGAACTATCTACCTTTAAGGCAGCAGTAATGTCTTTGTGCATCAGAACTCTGGCTCATCTCCAAAATGGAAACAGAACTATCTGCTAGTGGTGCAGACTAGTTAAAAATTGCCGAGGTGTGATGTTTTGCCATAACATAATTGATTTTACATATATCTTCATCATTACAGTGATTGCAAAATTAATTGGTATTCTTTTGGATCGACAGGATCGTAAAAGTGGCCGTTCAGCCCTTCATTTGGCTGCGGAAGAAGCAAACGTTGAACTCCTTCGTCTGTTTTTAGAGCTACCCACTTGCCTTTCTTTTATCAATGCCAAGGTATGTTAATGTTAAGCCAAAAGGCTAAAAAAAAACCCACAAAAAACCAAAAATACAGCATCCAGCCTATGTGTGCCTGCTTGCAGGAAGAAATCACTCTGTTTTGTTTGATGGTGGTGGATGTTTTTCAAAAAATAATGACATTTCTTTTGCCAAAAAACAGGCTTACAACGGCAATACAGCACTCCATGTAGCTGCCAGTTTGCAGCATCGGGTGACTCAGCTGGATGCAGTTCGTTTGTTGATGCGGAAGGGGGCTGATCCAAGTGCCAGAAACTTGGAAAATGAACAGCCAGTTCACCTGGTTCCGGATGGTCCAGTCGGAGTTGAGGTAAGAATGAGAGGCCTCTTTAGAGTGGAGGGAATCAATTTCATGCTGCTTTGCTAAGTTCATGTATATTTTCATAGCAATAAAAGAGGCACTCATATTTGAAATTCCATATTTACTCTGTTTTGGAACCTTGAGCATTTTTAAAGGACCCTTTTTGCTTTCAGGATATAATGCTTGGTCCTCTCCAGTAGTTCTGTTGTTTGCTTCTTTAAATGGCTAATATGTAGTGCTTGAAAGAGGACACATTTCTCTCAAGTTATGGGGCATGGATGATTTAGCACGTTTTTCAGGTTTGATGTTGAACAACTAAAAATAAGACTATGAAGTTTCATCACTGGTTGTTGTGGGTTTTTTGGGCTCTTTGGCCATGTTCTGAAGGTTGTTCTTCCTAACGTTTCGCCAGTCTCTGTGGCCGGCATCTTCAGAGGACAGGAGGCAGAACTCTGTGCTCTGAAGATGCCGATCAGAGTACAGAACACTGCCAAAGAGCCCGAAAAACCCACAACAACTATTAGATCCCGGCCGTGAAAGCTTTCGCGAATACATTTCAGCATCAGCTTGCATATGATACAGTTCGAGACTGATGCCTTGTCACTTCTGTTTTATTCTTCAGATAAGACGGATCTTAAAAGGAAAGACAGTCCAACAGAGATCACCGATCTATTAAGCTCCATGAGTACTGATGTTCTACACTCGCTGTCAGTAAGGCAGCCCTGATGTAACTGTAAATAGACCATTTGTCCTGATGAGACAAATGTTAGTTGTTTCTAGGAAACAAGAATATATGGTTCACTATTATATAGTGGATTTATGACAGTTCTTCTGATCAGCTGGTAATATTTCGTACCCAGGTATTCTGACTCAGCCTGAATAACTGACCTGGACTGCAATACCTGTATATTTCTGCCTAGGGAGTAAGCTCCACCCAGTGTGGGTTATTTCGTAGTAGATTTGTATAGGTTTGTGTGTTGCTGACTTCCAACAGCAGCACAACAAGAATCAAGCGGAAAAATAGTATTTTTAAGGCCAAACTTAAAATACTTTAGGGCTTTTGTTTATTATATGAAACATAAATGTATTAAGACTTATGTAATATTTTATTAGAAAAAATTATAGGAACTGTTTTGTTGTCTTACGTGGTTATTATGATCTTATTTTTGAGCTGCAATAACTTGTTAAGTCTGATAAAGGACATAGTAATTTTAAGCTTCTAAACTTGAGAATTCTGTGTAGAATTCACTTAAGTTTTTATGAACATTTGAAAGTGTTTATATATTTGTGTTGAAGGAGTTGATTTGTGTGGGGCATGTTTAAGGAAGTAGTTTCCATCCACAGTTTGACTTATGGATACCCATAAGAATCATATTGGACTGGTGTTTTACTCTTTTAAAATTATACAAGTCATCCTCTTTATGTTTGATTGTAATAATGTTGTATGTTTCCAAAAACTATTTGTCTTCTATTTGGCATGGTTTTGAGTTCTCAGTTTAGCAGTGAACTTTAGAAGTAGCTGGACAAAACAGTTCTAACCCCCAGATGTAGCTTCCTGGAGTGGTTTTAGAGTAGGTGAAGATGCTTCCCTGCTACAAAAAATGCTACTCCTGTATCTCTGATAGCGTGAGGTTTCCATTTTCCAGAGGTCCTGCAATAAAGCATTCTGAAGTTGGGTTTGAAGTGGCTTTTGTTTCCACAGATCTAAATTCAATCTGTTTCCCAAGGGAACTTTCAGGATTGGCCTTGTCACCTGTATCAGGATTAGGCCATTCGCCTATGTTTCCCTTCCTTCTGTAGCGCGTGCGCGCGCGCGCGCACACACACACACACACACAGAGAGAGAGAGAGAGAGACGGGTAGCCCCCACCTCCAACTTTCTGTCTTAGTTCGTATGAACCAACAGAGGTTAGGATGAGTTAAATCTGCTTTCATGTCCCCACCCCCAGTGTCGATAACACTGTTCAGTTGTCTCTTTATCTGTGTATTTAAGATGAGAGATTAAGCATTTCCTTAATATGCTCATAGATGCATTTGCAGATGACTCCAAAAGATTCATGTAGTAAAAAACCGAAGTAACTTCTTAATATTCCAGCTAGTAACTATCATTGCCATGTGGAACTTCAGATTTCAAAGGGGATTGTGGCCTCTTTGAGGCATCTGTGTACGGGATATTGTACAAGAGAGTAAAACCTAGCAAACCTCTCTTCTTATGTTCTTATGCTGAATTTAATTCTCTGTTCATGAATTGAGAAGACTACTTTTAGGGTGTTGGATACATTTAGTTCTATAATTGTCTTACCTTATAGGTATAATACTAGTCAACAAGTATTAATGTTTTAAGTAAGTCAATAATTGAGGGATGGCAAGGATCTGTATTTGTGCTTTAAGGATTGTATATATTAATTGCTCTTCAAATGATACTGTTTGGTTTTAATTGTGATCCTATTATAGATTTATCTGTTTCATGAGTGACTATCCTGCATTGTATAATATTTTCCATGGCTAATCTGATCATATTGTTTGACCAAGTATGTCTTGTAGACAAATAACTGGAGAAATTGTAGCTCCAAATATTAATGAAGTGCTTATTCTTGTAATATAAAATACATTGTTTGGAATAAAATTTCTTTTAATCAATTACAGTAGTATCTTTTGATCTGATTAACTTCTGATAATTGGTCCTTACGTACCAGCTTAAGTAAAAAATGCTCATATTTGTGACATAATGTCAGATACACAATTTTACATATTACAAATTATTTCAAGGGATGTCACTATTCTGCAGTCACACCAGGAGAGCACATGATTTGGAACTGATGCACACAACTTCAAATCCTGAGAATCTCAGCTTTCTTCCTCCTGTTTTTCCTTTCCAAAGCCAAATTTCTTGGTCATACTTGTGGGGACCATCTAGGAGAGAGTATGGGAATCGAGAACAAAAAGGTTGTAGTCCAGAAAAGTAACTTGATGTCACTTCTCAGTGAAATCATAGGAGCCTAGGCTATTAAATACCATTTCCAGAGGACAGAGTTTCACTGCATATACAGATACTTGTGCTGTCTCAAAATGAGCAGGGTAAATTTCACAAAACCAGTGCATCCATGGCCTACATCATCACATCACTGCTCAGCTGTGGATGGTTTCAGCAATTTAGTACATTTGGCTTTTTAAAGTAACTGAACAGAGTTTTAAACAAACTCTGCTCATCCACACCTTCATTAATCCTGCATGTTTGTAGAATTTTCTACCTGGTAGCCTTTGAGTGAATGATGAGACCAAAGTAGAAAGGGCTCAGAAAAGTGCAGATAGAGACATTCTGGTTCGTTCCAGTGTTTACATCACACAATCACTGGAAAAGGGAGTGAACCAACTCATCCCTGCAGTGGACCAAACAATGGGCTTTATGCTTGTCTGATTGCACGCTAGGTCTGACCCAGAGGAAGCCAACTGTCAACCTTGTCAAACCATAGTTGGCATCCTCCTTGAACTGTTGCAACCAAAGCTGAATAGAACAATTTATGGAAAAGCCCTATGCATGCCTACAGTACAATCTTAAGTACACTTATTTGTACGTAAGTAGTCCCACAGAGTAAGTGTACACAGGAGTACAGCCAAACACTAGGGGCAGCCAAATTTTTCTTTGTTTACATTTTTTCATGCCTAAATCTTCCTTGGATTTTACTGATTAATTTGTTGTTTGAATCTGGCTACAAATGAAATGAGAGTCCAGCACAGTCTCACCCCATGTGAACATTGTCTATTGGGCCTTCTAAAGATTTCCATTCCAAACCGTCATTATCTCTGCAGAGCTGGAAGAGACCCTATGGATCATTGAGTACGGCCCTTGTCAAGGAGTCACAGTGGAGAATTTAACTCTCAACCTCTTGCTCTGTAGTGTGATAAATCTGAATCACTGAGCTATCTATCAAATGAAAATAGGAACCATTTGAGGAACCAAAACAAACAAAAACACCCTGGTTGCCTCCTTTCTGGCACCATTTATCTTTTGGTTGCTTTGCTTCATTTTCCTGGCTCAGATTCTGAGCTATTAGGGAAAATTAGCTGCTGGGAAGGAAGAGTAACAACATACAGGAAAAGGCAACCAATGAGCAGCTCTTCCCTTCACTTTGTGTGAAATGCCTGTCAACTGCAAGAGGTGTTTGGTGTTGTGATGGTGAGGTCTTCTGCATTTTCAGCAAGGAATGTTCTTATACTGTATTAGTGTGTTAAAGTTTATATTCCACCGTTCTCCAAATGCTTGACAAGGTGGTTGAAACTAATGCAAAAGTTAAGAACAAATGCTTGAAGCAATCACAACATAAAATCCATTAAAACACAAGTACAATCAACTCCACTAAAAAGCACAACCAGTGTGCAATCAGTTGAATCTCTTTGGATAGCGGAATAGGTTGCACACCTTAGTTTACATGACTCAGGCCTGCTTGAATAGAAAATCTTGAGTTATTGTTGGGTTTGTTCATCTAAAGCAGTGGTGTCGAACTGTGGCCCTCCAGATGTTCTTGGACTTCAACTCCCAGAAGCCTTCACCACCACCTCTGCTGGCCAGGATTTCTGGGAGTTGAAGG